CATCTCTGCATTCCCTGACTACGTTCCTGTATTTCTCCCAGGGGACCTGTCCTTTTTTCCACATTCTGTATACCGCTGCCTTCTGCTTGAGCATTGCCACAAGCTCCTTGCTCATCCACACAGGTCTCCTGCCCCCTCTGCCTGACTTCTTACCCACAGGGATGCACTGTTGCTGGGCATGGAGGAAGTGCCGCTTGAAAACTAACCAGTCCTCTTGGGCCCCCCTTCTTTCTAGGGCTCTAACCCATGGGATTCTTCCGAGGAGGTCCCTGAAGAGGCTAAAGTTGGCCCTCCTGAAATCCATGGTTGCAAGGCTACTTACAGCCCTGCCACCTCCTCGTTGGATCCTGAACTCCACCAACTCATGGTCACTGCAGCCAAGGCTACCTCCCACCTTAACATCTCCTACAAGTCCCTCCCTATTTGATAGCACGAGGTCCAGTAGCTCACCTCTCCTTGTTGGCTCCTCCACTGCTACTTACCCTGAGCAGCGCTGTGATTATTCCAATTTCTCCATCTTTTTATTCAGTCTGTAAAGACCATGTTCTGTGTTTGTAAAACCCTCAGCATAAGGTTCTTAATTGTACGGCAATAGAGATTTATTAATATTTGCCAAGCCCCAAAGGAAAACTCAATCTTTAAAGACTAAGCTCTCAAACTAGTACAGCTCCTTTCCAGCAGAGATTAGACCATGCACTAATTTTAGTACAAAATCCACTTACAGCACAAAATCCAACTTACTTGTTGAGTCCAGGTGGCTCAAGTGGGTAATGACCTTATACCCTTCCTGAAAGGGTCCAAAGACAGAGAAATGAAACAATGCAGAATGTAAAGGATTATCTGACAAGTGAACAACAGTAAGAAATCAAGGAGCTGCCTGGCTCCAAATTCACCTTTCCAGAGACAGGACAGTACAGCCAGGCACTCCACCTTGCTGCCAAACCCTTAAGCACTGCGAGCTGTCACACATGCACTTTGATGTCACTGAATTTGCTCACAGGCAAAATCATGTTCATCAGTTAGGGTTTCTCTTGCCCTCCGTGTTTAATTTCAAGAGGCTGGCAGGCAACTAACACACATTGGCAGATGGCAAAAGATGGAAAAGTGAGACACACCGTCTGCTGAAGGGCAGCACTGCCACCCACGCCAGACCCAGCAAAGAAACCAACAGACTCTGAGGGCCAACATGGGGATCACATGCAGCTGACAACCAAATACTCCCAAGAGGCAAGAAACATCACCTTACTATTTACTCGAAAGCCACCGAAATAAAGGCGAGCAGAGGTGCCAGAGGTTTATTTACACTGAGTTTTGGTCAGTGTTCAATGGACTTTGAGGAGAGTTACTAACTGTGGGGATGTGACTTCTCATTCTCTCGCTGGTATCAGGAAACAAATAGCTAGAGTCTTCTTGTCACACAGGCAAAAAAAAACATAAGATACATTTCCTTGTAAAGCAAATAAATCATTTTCCCTATAAAGACTGTACATAAAAATAACTATACATCATGTTCTCACTACTACAAGGTCCAGCACTGCAGACTAGATTACAGTTACAAGCCATATGCAGAACAGTCATGGGAGCTTAAACAAATTACAGGTCCCTACACAGAAACAAGAACCGGTGATTTGCAGCAGGGCATCCAAGGCAACACATGGATCTATCGAGGACAGAACATGTATGAGGTAGTATCCAGAAAGCAAGTCGTTCATGCCTCGAAAGAGCCATCGGAGAATCAGCAGAGCACCTTGAGTAAGGAAATTTTTAAACACAAACAAGTCTATCAGATTTGTGGAAAAAAAAAAATCATTCAGGAATATTAGAGCCCAGGCACCTGAAAGCTATTAACTTTTTGTTATGTGGGGAATGATGTAAAACTCCATTTTTTTTTTCCATCTTTCAACTTCAAAATTAAAGAGAAATTATGTCTGAATACAGACAGGTAACTTAGGAAGGCAGTTTTTAGAAGCAGATTTACCCTCCACTGTTCCCTGCAACAGAAACAAACCTCAAAATGAAGTTCAACACCCAATCTTCCGTGTCTTTTTCTGACATAAGCTTGTCTCCCACATAGTCTTAACGTCTGCAAAGCTGGAACAGACGACACTAATTACAGGCAGTATCTTCTCCAGAGACTTCATGGTATCAGCCTCTGGTATTTCTGTACTGTGGTGACACACATGCTAGGCATCTGCACCTCTCACAGGTTTACCTATTCATTAAGTTGTTTTTCAATACCATTAAGAAGCCTATCATATATAACAACAGGATTTTTGCAAACAAGCCACCTCGCAAAACCCCAGTTGAATTTTTAGCCACTCAGATACTTGCATAAGTTCCAAAATTATGAATCCAGAAGTCAAAATACAGCTTTAAGAAACCTAACTTTGTTTTACAGATGGCCAACTGCAAACAGCAGGATTCACTCAAGAATTGAGTTTTCTGATATACACAGTCATATCCCAGGATATTTACAGAGATTTAAAAACTCACCCCAGATAACTGTTCATTTCTGAGTATTTTAACTTGCTTGTTCAACTGACAGAGCTCTATATTCCCTTCGGTGTTTATAGTGACACTGGTCACTATACTGTGAAGTGGCCAAAACAGCAAAGCTACTCCTCTTACAGACAGCAGTATACTTTTAATTATTAAAAACAGTGAACACTTCTAGCCCAGCATGGCCAAAGGCAATTTATAAATTAAATGCTAAAAACTCTCAGTGTCCTATTTAAACTTTGATTAAAATATCTGCTACAGCTTTTATTTTCCTGTTGCATTAGCTTTTATTATGTGCAAGTCCTATGTAGCAAACCCCATTAAAGTTTACCACACTGTTTTAGATTTACACCCAATGAAAATGCCACAATTTCAGTGTATGAGAATCAGCAAAGGAATTCATCTTAATTATAAGATTCACGCTCTCATCTTCTGTGTAAGCAATGTAATAATGAGCGTGGAGTTTAAAGCTCTGCTTGTTAAAACACAGACACAAAGCAGCCACGCTAAAGCTACTGCTGTATTCTTAATTTGTATATAATCTTTTGCAAGGATAAAGCTGGCCTCTTGCAATCATTACATTTTGCTTAATAAAAGGCTAAGTCCATGCGTAACCGAGTTCAGGTTCAGCTGTGGAAAAATATACTTCGCTGTAGTGCATGCAGTGGGAACAACAATATGGTTGAATCCCTCTTCAGTTCTGGGATTGTTTGGTCACAAACAATTTTCTGCAAGGTTGCACTAACAATACACTTGCCCATTTATCTTCATTGCAGCAGTGAGGGAACTAAAGAAGTTACAACATGCAGCAAAATTGTTGTAGCCCTATAAAGCACATGGCGATCTTGCTAAAGTAAGCAAGATTTCGCAAGCGTGTGTTTCTGCAGGAGTTTGTTTCCTGTAAGCTATTTCACAAGCAGTGCTGGCTGCTGAGCAGATGGACATGCATAAAGAAGGCAGTGAGCTTCAACTTAAGGCTTATTCTGTTATAAGATAGTTTTGTTTATGCAGCTAGGCCTTGCTTCCTATCATGAGCTACTTCACAAAAGCTTCCTGCTATGTAACTGTGAACAATTGCACCAGATTTGAAATGAGAAAAATACAGCTGCCCTTTACAAGTCACAGCACTGAGCATAGCTTCTATGCAGAAGCAAATAAAACACTTTAAGGCAAAGAAACAAACTTATAAGCTGTGAGGTTTATGATCCGTTTCACCTATGCATTTCTTACATTTGATTCATTGCTATGACACAAACGTGCAAAAAAACAAGCTCTGGACTTTGCACTAATTCAAACAGAACTCCACACATGAAATGCCCGTTTCATCCAGTGAAATTTGGCTAATTCCAGACAGAGTATTACCTAGAAACTACAATCTTTTCCACTTAGCGTTTACCTAGGATATAATTTCAATATTCTTCAATAATGTTTCAACTCCAAAACACCACTGCAAGAACCTGAGAAGGCTTTTTTTTTGTTGTTGTTAAAACAACAAACCATGGAATTATTTGAAAACTCAAAACAGTTTTAGAGTAGAAGAAATATCACAAAATAAGCAAGTAAAGAAAGATTCTGAAAATCAAATCAGGTTTACAGTATTTTATTTAGGTTAGGGAATATCTGAAGTTTGTAAAGTGCCCTACAAAATGACCATGGTTAAAGCCATCAACACAGCGGAGAGAAAAAAAAAAAAAAAAGCACAGAGTACAAGACTGAGCATAATGGAGGGAAAAAAAAAATATTATTAGCAGTTTCTGTATGGAAAAAGCCTTCATTTACAAAAGCTCACAACGTTCATTAGCTCTGCCATTTACAGGACAAGAAGAAAGATTCAACTCCATTGTTATCCCCTCTCCCTTCAACAGAAGTAAATTGCTCTTCCCAGATTAGAGATGCTGGATCTTTGCATTTGGATTCACAGCCATCTACAGAGTGCCAGATTTTCCCATGAGAATGGGTCACAGTTAAGCATCACATTCATTCAAAATTAATTACGTATCATTTTGACTCCACTCATAATTACTTCCTAATATTTTCCTCGTCAGTCTACGCACTTTGATTATGGGAAGCATCCAGGGGGAAGTGGAGGAGGGAGTAAATAACAGAGGAAAGGGAGGCAGAGGGAGACTGCACTTACTGTGTTGCATTTTGTCCCACAAACCACTTGTCGGTGGTTCAGCCACTGGGAAGCAAACACTTTATTCAGGGTCCCAAGATGAAATTCCCTCTCTTTCAGGAGGCTGGGAAGCTGCTGAGCTGCATATCCATGCAACAGGTGATGGTAACTGGACTCATTCTGCATCCTGACCTCTCTCCCTTTCAGGTAGCAAACCAAAGACCTTTTCACGGGGGGGAGCCTTTTCCGTTTGTGAACTGAATGATCCCACCCATACTGTGAAAAATAAACACGGAGATTAGAAAGAACAAGCAGAACGAATTTAAAATAGCACCCTTCCAAGTTCAAGGGCATGTTTTTTTGAGGGAACAACTGGAGCCCTCCAAACTAGGGGCAAAACAGCATAAAAAAGTAACTTCTGGAAGCTGGTGGAGAGACGTTCAAGGAAACAGGAGGAAATTAAGAGACGCGTTAGAGCAGCGGGCGGCCCGAGTAACCCCCATCCCCCCGCCACGAGCTCGGCCCCGGGGAGAGGGGCGACCACGGCCCGAACGGCTGATCCCAACAGGAGCAACGCGGGGTGGGGAGGAGCAGCGCGCAGGGAGGGGAGGGGAGGAAGGAAGGAAGGAACCGAGCGGCGCACACAGGCCGGTGCTACCGGGAGAAGCTTCCCTCCACCCCGGTCACTTCTCGCCCCTCCCGGGCCTACCTGCTCCTCTTGGAGCTCCCCGGCGGCAGCCACCGCCGCTTTCCGCTTCCTGCTAACTGTTTTCCAGGCCATAGTAGTAGGAGGAGGAGGAGGAAGAGAAGAAGGAGGCGAGGCCGAGAACCCGTCCCGGGCCCCACATGGAGCAAGAGAAAGAAGCAGCCGCCAGAGGACGGGCCATATAAGTGCGGGCAACCGGACCCAGTCACACTCTCCACCGTAACCCCCGCCGACCGCGCGTCACAACATCTTCCTCCACAGTGGTTTTGTTTTGTTTTGTTTTGTTTTTTTACGGCAGGCGGCGCGCGCCGCTTC